TATACTATGCTGACATCCCACACAGCAGGAATGTCCTAAATATATCATAAGGATATCTTGAAGATATCACATATCCCAAATATATCTTTAGGATATCCCTATGATATATTTTGGACACCTCTGCTGTGTGGGATAATATTAGCAAAATATTATTTATTGTTTATATTACTCTTTACATTACTGTAGTGTGCATAGAAATTAAGTTTTATTATGATATGATGTCAAATGTCCTGCAAAAGTCGATAAAAATATGCATAAAAAAGGAAAAATTTAATTATTATTTTTGTGTCAACAAAAAGCAAATTGTAATTAAATATAGAATGATGTTATATTATATCGACGGAAAAAATCGTTAAGTTTTAGGTTTATCAGGAATCATTCTGTGTTGGAAAAAACATGATCAATATATAATATGCATTGCCATCTTGGGTAATAACAAAAACACAGCAAAAATGTCTCATGATCTGCTCTCAACCCTTATAGAAAAGTATCACTGGCTGTGATAAATTGGCCAGTAATAAATAGTAATTTTATTACTCGTACGAGTAATAAAATTATTGAAGATAGTAATTATCACTGGCCAAATTATTACTTATCAGTAGTACATTTCTATAAAGGAAGAAGTGGTAATAGATTCATATGATAAGTCATATTCTATTCTTGTTGTGTATACTGTCATCAGCTAAGACATATTATGACGGCTTTTGCTATGTTTTTACTGTTACGAACTCATAATGTCATTTTTTAGATAGATAGAAGTGTCATTTTATAGGTACATCTTCTTAGTTAAACCTATTTGGCGAATATTTTATGCGTTTATTTTTTCGCTTCTTGTATCATTGATCAAAATAAGTGCAATGAGACAAACAGTTTTAAGTTAAATTTTACGATAAATACGTAATATAATACGCAACGAAAATACCAAGAAGGATGTTTGTCATATTTTTCTAAATAAGTAAGTGTTTCACTGCTAAATTAAATAAAAAATTCTCCTATATATATTCAATTAAATCCAATATGCGTTGCATCTGCTAATATACCAAGTCTCTCAACTTTTTTATTAAGCATAATAAATAAAAGCATGTAAATACGAGTGCATGTATAAACAACAATATAGTCAATAAATTTAATTAATTAATGAGTAGAGAAAAGATAATAGGACATAGTAACTATTAATTACATGCTGCAAATCTGGTCCCCATCGCATATGTCAACCAACAAACACACAATGTACACAAATACACACTGTCTCAAATCACTATAATAAAATTAAAATTTAAGTGATAAAGTCGTAAGTTATAATGTACGTAGAATTCGAAAAATTTATTCATTTAATTTATAATAAATTGTTATGACGACACGCCCGGACGAACATACGCAGACTCGCGACAGGAGCTGTCTGAGCTGAGAGGACGACCGGGCGAATGGATGTGCGCGCATTTTCTTATTGATCCGTTTGGAAAGCTCGTGTGATACTGCGCATTAGTATCTTTCTCAATTGTCTCTATATAATGTATCCATGACTTGAGAAAATAATAAAATTAAGAGACTAAAAAATGTAGAGAAGGAGAGAGAGAGAGAGAGAGAGAGAGAGAGAGAGAGAGAGAGAAGGGGGAAGGAGAGATACGAGAGGAGGACGGCTATTCATATATACAGGGTGTTCATTTTAAAACTTCTCATCTCAATATTTTTAAAAATAAATGTTCTATGAAAAAAGATTTAATACAAAAGTTTTAGGATTTTGAAGGGGCATAACAGCCCACATAGCACGTAATATTGCAGAAATATTGCAGTGATATCCCATATAGAACATTACAGCTAATATATGTATATTAGAGAGCTAGAGTTGATATGTATATATTTATTAGATGATCTGTTAAATATCTATATATGGTGAAAATGTCCGCCTTGTATACAGATACTGTATGTATAATAGAAGTGATGTGATAGATGTCTATATATCTATTAGATAGCTATTTACGTAAATATCTACTAAAAACAAGAACATTATATATATATATATATATATATATATATATATATATATATATA